CCAACTCTCTGATGCATAACAAGTGATTGCAAAGACCATGGCCTGTATCAGGCGTACCTTAGTCTCCAGAGAGACACCATTAGGCACTGTAAAATGGACCTGTCCTTTACCTGGGCCTATTTGCTTCCATTTTTTATTATAGGTTTCTAGATGATTTAGGTAAATCATGAGCTATGTGAAATAATCAAGTAAAATCTTTTGTGTGCAACAGATTTGCTGCTGCTGCCAGGGGAAGTGGAACAGGATGTCGGCTCCGATGCTTCTTCTTACATTCCTTCGGTATACCAGCTCCTTACCCCTGAAGTAAAGCCAAGGCCCATCACAGATGGAGTTGGCAGACCAGTGGAAGAGGTACTGCACATGAGATTCAGTGAGACAGAAGCAATGTTGATGTAGTAACTTGTGCTTTTATAATTGTTCTCAGATATGAGAAAACTTGTACGTTATGGACCCTTTCAGTGGCATCCACCTCTAACATATACATTTCTTTTAGACACACAGAGCATTTATGCTCTGATGCAGAAATTACTTTTTGTTTTGTAAAGTAAACTGTGCATTGCAGAGTTGGACAGTAACTAGGGATGGTAGAAAGGGAATTGATACCTTTGGGCTGTGGTGCTGGAGAAGAATGTTGAATATACCATGGACTGCTAGGAGAACAAGCAGGTTTGTCCTGGAGAAGGTGAAGCCAGAATGCTCCTTGGAGGCAATGATTTTGAAGCTTCGTCTGACGTACTTTGGCATGTTGCAAGGAGGGACTGGTCCTTGGGACTGGTCATGTTTCGGAGAGTGGAGGGGCAGCGCAGGAGAGGAAGACACTTGATGAGATGGATCGATTCTGTGATTGGGTGGTGGGAATGAGTGTGCGACTCGATGACACATAACAACAACAACAACAACAACAAAGCATGATGTGCACTGTGACGGTACTGTCTGGAGAAAAAGCAATGGAAGGGAAAGATGGTTTTCTCCTTTTCATTTGAACTGGCCCCTTTCCTTTGCATTATTGCTTCTTCTAAGGTCCTAGAATTCTTTTGTATTAATTAAGATAAAGCTAAACTATTCTGTAGCAGAGAATCTCGGTAATAATTCAATGACCAAAAAGAGATAAAAGTGTATTTCTCTTATGCAGCCATCTGAGATCGTTGTAGTGAGCGGGTTGTCCTTTTCCTTGGAGAGATTTAGTGACCTTGCTCATTCTCCCTGGATCTCCTCTCTCCATAGGGCATTCTCCTCCTCTAATGTCCCAAACCAGGCCACTGTCACACCTAGAGGGAAGGAGGATGAGGGCATGGGAATAGTATGCTTCACAAGACTCAGGACCCTTCGTTTATACTCCACATAGTGGGGCATCAGTCACAGGAAGTTGTTGGAGCCACTTTCTTATTTTCTTTTAATAACATCTGTAGGGCATTTCTTGGTAATTTAATCATTCACATGCCACTCTTGTCACTTCAAGGTATTCTATTATGGGGGTGATCATTCAATCAGACATATTCCACATACTTCAAGTTTGAATTGTCTTTTGCTGCTAGATCTTTTGTTTCCTGATGTCCCCAAAGTGCATCTGGGATGCCAGCAGACTCATCCTGGACTTTCATACTAGTCACCATATAAATGGTAGAGACAGTCACTGTTTTCTCTGATTCAGTGAGCATATGGCATAGTTATTTCTATCAAGAATCACCTTCTTTTAAAGACTTACTCACAATTTAGGTCGTGATTCTACATGGGACTGTGGAGTTGGTTCCTCCTCCTGTGTACAAGGTAACAAAGACCTGCCTGATGCTGTATCAGTCTCACAGCCGTTGCTGGGTTTGAGACCATTGTTTCAGCCCCTGTGTCACCACCTTGTTGAAGGTCTTAGTCCTTGCATTCACCCTATACTTTACTAAGCAGGGTATCCTTCTCCAGGAACTGGTCTCTCCTGAGTATATACTCTAATTACGTGAGTCTTGCCCTCTTGCCTTCCAAGAATGTTCTTCCTAGACCCCTTTGTCGGTGATTCTGTGGCAGCCCATGGTTTATTCATATCCTTTGCCAACTCCATAGTTCAGTGACATTAGTTCTTTATTCGTCATCCAGCTTTTATACACATACACATACACATACACATACACATACACATACACATACACATACACATACAGAGTGACTGAAAATACTGTAGCTTTGGGCAGATGTACCTTCATCCTCAAGGTGACATCTTTGCTTTTAAACACTTTAAAGAGGTCTTTTGATGCAGACTTGATCAAGACAATATATCTATATAGTGACTTAATAGGAGTATTATAGAAATTACTAGTTTAGTTCATAGGTTTTAAAAACAAGCTGGATAATATCTATCTGGAATCTGTTAAAAAATCAGGAATATGAGAGTTAAAATTCTGTATAGATGATTATATCTTTAAAAGGGATATAATTTTTTATCAGAAAATATAAACTTTTCAGAATGTTGAAATAAAAATGTATAAAGGGTGTTTGAATTGGTAAATGGACATGCCATAGATGAATATTGAATAAAAGTAACTTTTCAAAACTCTTTAGAAGCATAGTACTGTACCAACTCCTCCTTGGGTTAATAGCATTAATCTTATTTTAAAGCCTCCCAGTTCCAGTAAAAGTCCAAGATCATCATCAATTTCCAGCAAATCTACCCTGTAGGAGCCTTACAGAGGGCTGCTGTGGGGCTATGGCGGGTTGGTGCTTTCTGTGACTTCTGTCTCCAAAGATGAAAATGTAACCTAGATGTCTCCACTTCCTCTTAATTGCCCACTGAGAATGCATCAGCTCTCTGATACAAATCTCTGACATAATTCTTTGATAATGTGTTCATTGTTTTATCTATGCATGTTTTTCCTTCAGAGTTAAACATTTAAAGGAACTTTTAACTTAGTATTTGTGAACAAATTCTTGCCTTGGTTACTGTATTTTGGCAAACTTTAAAAGTTTTAATCAGCTGCACATTAGGAAGATTAAAAAGTTGTATTTTATGCTTTAAAAATCCATAGAAAAGAGAGTTTCCAGAAGAAACCTTTGCATGTGTTTTTTTTTTTTTAATAGGCGTGCTGTCCTCTTTTTCAAGTTCATAATGGACTCTAAAAATTTTCACCTATAGACAGTTTATTTACCATATCACTGGGTAAGATGGCCTCCAGCTAAATGCTGCCATTATTGATTTGAGCATTAAGCTCTGTTTTCTTTAATTTGCCGACGTGGCACCACGAATGAAAATGATTCCTCTTTTAACAGTGACTCTGCTAGAATAAGTCACATGGAGCATTGGAAGGATGCTAGCAGTTCTCTAATAGTGCACACATTCCATTCCCCGAGAGGCTAGAAAAAGATTTCAATTAGATTTGAAATTGGACACCTGAAATCCACATATTTCTCTCAGCTCCTTAGGCAAAAATAACAAGTTAATAACTTAATTCACAGTTGCTTTTTGTTTGGTAACAGGGGATTTTGAGTTCCATTGCACACATTTTTATTTCTCTTTGAAATAAATCAGAATTTCAGCTTGTAACCTAAAAACTTATCAATCTTCTATCTTAGAATCCTAAAATGAACCTAACTTGAGAGAATTCCTCTATCTTGCCTGACAGTCAACAGATGAAATACTTAAATACACATGCAACATGACTCAATTTTTCTGTAACGAAAGCATCTAGTCCATGAATATATTTTTTATCAAGAATAGATCTCAGTGATTTTTTAATGTCACGTGGTTTATTATGCTTCTCTTTTCCAATTGGACAGGATGAAAATAATTTTTCTTTTTTTTTTTTAAATAATTTTTCCTAATCACTTTCTTGATAAGAACATAAACCGTTTCCCTGGTTCTCCCCATTCTATTAAGAAGATGCTGGTGATGTTTTCAGAATACCTGCTTACTGTCCCTTCAGATGTACATGCCCCATCTTTTGGAAGCCTTTAAATTTATTCATATGTCACTTTTTCAAAATCAGGAAAGGAGTGCATCAGGGATGCATCCTGTCTCCATACCTTTTTAATCTGTATGCAGAATGGATCATTCGGGAAGCAGTGCTGTATGAGGAGGAATGTGGCATCAGGATTGGAGAAAGACTCATTAAC